GAGAGAGAGAGAGAGAGAGAGAGAGAGTTTGTAAACAGGAAGTTGGAAGGATGTTTCTAAAACTTAATATGAAGAGTGGTGGAGTGTGTGGGGTGTGTGTACTAGGGTTAATTATTAAGTTCGATGACCTTTTTTGTCTTTTTACACAATAATAAAACTTACAGCTTAATGATTTGAGTATTGGGGTGAACAAAGAGAAGTGCGGGGTTTAAATAGAAAATCTCCACTTAGTTTTATATATTTTGATACTGGCAAAATGTTCCTGTTAAACAAAAGAAGATAAAAACAAATCTAAGTTTATTTGCTAAAAGATTTACTTTGGCCTTGATTCCTTCTTGTCATTGAATTGATTAATGATCATGTTTAAAAAATAAATAAAAAAATCAATGACCTTGTTCTTTGCATCTTCTAGAGGATTGGCCACTTATTTCTTAAGAAAATATCTCTTTTTATATCACTATTTTGAACTTGTCAAATTTAATTCACGAGAAGTCGCTTTAGTCGTATGTGAAATGAAAATTTGGTTGAATGATCAACACCAATGATTTGCTTGCTTGAAGTCTCCACAGGAAAATCTTACATTAATGTTTTGTGACTTTGTGTTATCAGTTACTAGTTGCAAAAAGTAAGTCTGACTTGTTTCGATCAAAGATGATCGATGCTTCATTTTCATTTTCAAACCTCTTCATAATTAAGAGTAAACAAACACCATTTCCCTTTCCACTCAACTGTCTGCCTTTTTGTGATCTTAAATGGAGTTTAAACCCTAAACCTTTATAGTGGTCTAGAAGAATACAATACAAGTAAATCAAGGAACCCTTTGGTAAGTAGTCAACTAATGAGCAAAGCTTGGAATAGGTTTACAGCATTTCTAACAGGCTAAATGTGCGCTTCTACGTTGAACTTTAGAGAGAATGTAAAAATAAGGAGATCACTAAAAGCTCCTAAACATAAACTAGCGAGAAATGGATTTTTAGTGGCTCCATTTCATTAATCTTTAATTATTTAATATTATTTTGAACATCGGATAAAGTAAATGATAATCGGACAGGTTCAACCCCATATAAATGAATCTTAATTCGTTTGCCCTTTTTCCCCACTTCAAATTGGTAGGTTACCACCACTAAAGTTTTTATTTTTTATTTTTAGAAAGAAAAAAATAATTATATTCATAAATTAGGCACAAATACCATCAGCACAAGGACAAATACGAATACCCACAAAGGATAATACAAATATGAAATCACAGTAACCACACATGGTTAATTCATATACAAAATTTCCACCGAAAATATAACAAGTTGTTCTAGTTGACCAATTAAAGTCTTCATGTCAATTATTTTGTACAGAATTTCCAAGGATAACAAGTTGTTGAGTATGTGGAAAATAAATACTCTAGAATTAAAGCTTAAAGCATCCATAAGCCAGCAGATAGCCTTGCATTTAGGATTGGCTAGTATTTCGAACTTGGAACATTATTTTGGTAAGGCTTATTATCACAAAACGTCCCTAAGGTTTACGAAACTATCAGATTGCATCATTAATAATTTTTTGTGTCACTTGTAGTCCTTAAGATTAGTATATGCGATCACAAATGGCCTCTGCCGTTAGGTTCCGTCAAAAACTCCGTTAGTTTGCTGACGTGGCATATATATATCACTAAACTAACGGAGTATTTGACGGAACCTAACGGCATGGACCATTTGTGATCCACATACTAACATTGAGGACCACGAATGACAAAAAAAAAAATGTTAAGGATGCAATCTGATAGTTTCGGAAACCTTAGGGACGTTTTGTGGTAATAAGCCTTTTGGTAATATTCGAAAGTTGAACTTTACTTGTAAGTATGAAAAATAAGTTCTCTACATCTAAAGCTAATAAAAGCTCCGCATTAAAGAAAAACACCTCGAATATTGAATATCCTAAACTTCAAACTTCTCCTACCTCTGCTTTGCTTGAAAAAGATGTTGAATCTTATGGATTTGGTTGGAAGCTTCTGATCCAATTGGAATCGCTTTTCATCTCAAAACATAACAAGGAAATAAAAAATTAGAGGGATTCGGATCATACAAATTGACGTCATAGATGAATCCTACAAATGGAGGATTGGCAACCAGTTGCCTTAAATTCTATGCATTGTTATATGAAGTATGATTTGGATGGAGGTCTCTTTACGTTCGAACTTAGGGTGATAAACTAGTGCACGTTTCTGTGTTTCATAATCTTTAATAGGAAAAACGAAGAGGAAGTTTTTTTTGTAACCGGTGATTACAAGGTCAAAAGAGAGAGGGAGACTCGAGACAATTCTCATTCTAGATGATTATGTAGTTTTTTTTTTTAATAACAATTGAGGGAAGATATTCGAATGAGACTTCTTCGAATATTTTTTTTTTTTTTTTAAAGTACCATTACATGTGAGAGAGAGAGAGAGAGAGAGAGAGAGAGAGAGAATAGGTTTGCATACACATGGTAAAAAAATTTAGAAGTATTTATGGATTATATAATTCCTTTTTAATTTTTGTTTGGAAATCATAGGTGCTCATCGAAAAGGGCTTTAAAGTCCGTTTGTAGGTAACACTTCAATTTTTAATAAAAATTTTAAGTGCTTCTTTATTTTTTTTATACAATTGATATTTGGTGAATCAAACTTAGGACCTTGAGTGCTCTTAGCCACTTAAACTACACGCTCCTTGTATATTTTAAGTACTTTTTACAGAAGTGATTTCATTATATGTGCTTATGAGCCGGCAATGCACTTATTTTTATTTTTTGCTGAAGCACACTGAAATGCCCTTCAAACTTCTGTATAAACTCTGCTTTCGAGCATTTCTCTGTGATTAAAGGGAAACCCTGCGCTGACTTTCTAGAAATCTTTGTTTAGGCACCGAATATTATGGCTGACAATGTTGGTTCTAAATGCCTCCTATTCAACAAGGCAAAGTCTAACCTGATAGGTATATGTACTCCGTATCCATCATTGTATTCTGCAAATCTTGTAAAATAATTCAAAATGGGGCATTAAAATATAGAAAATATAGCAGCTTTCCAGGATTCTAAAACTGCACCTATGGCATCCTAAAAGAAGTTTTCAAAACTCCTAAATATTGGTCAAAGTTTTGTATTTTTTGGTTGATATTTGACTCCTGCTATATATCCATTCCATTTCTCACTCCTCAATCTCTTATATAAGTTTTCCAGCCATAGATGCCTGGCATACGACACAAACAAACATAAACAAACCAATGGCTTTCAGCTCAAGGACATGGCTGCTAAGCTCAGCTGTCCTTTTTTCTATCATGTCTCTTTCTTGTGGGAGAGAGCCTCCCAATTCAGGTACAGTAAAAGCTGTTAACCTTGGAGGCTGGCTGGTCACAGAAGGCTGGATCAAACCGTCTCTTTTCGATGGCATTCCCAACAAAGATTTCTTGGTTATTAATTTATCTATCTTGCTAATCATTTCATATCTTGTATATAAGCTTCAACTTCGGTTATAGTTTTTTTTTTTTTCTTTTTCGTTTTAATTGTTTTAGGATGGAACTGAACTTCAGTTAAAATCTGTGACAACTGGGAAATATCTTGCTGCTGAGCTAGGAGGAGGAAGCATCATAGTTGCAAACAGAACATCAGCTTCAGGCTGGGAAAGATTTAGGGTAAAATTTTGACATGTTTTTTTTGGTTGATTTGCATTGTCAATATATTCTAGTGTATAGTTTGTGCTCACAGAAATCGACATGGTGCTGGTTATTATTTTGTTGCAGCTGTGGAGGATCAATGAGACCACATTCAACTTCAGGGTTTTCAACAAAGATTTTGTGGGGCTTGATGTCAAGGGCAATGGAGCTCAGGTGGTGGCTGTTTCGAAAACACCGGGTAGCTCAGAGACGTTTGAGATCATAAGGAAGCCTGATGATTTGAGCCGGGTTCGAATCAAAGCACCCAATGGATTCTTCTTGCAGGTGAGTGATTTGATTTGGTTTCATCTTTCTTGTTTTGATTGTTGAGACAGAATGTGATGGTGTGATTGGGGGATGCAGGCCAAGACAGAGGATTTGGTGACAGCTGATTATGCAGGGAGTGGTAGTGGATGGGGAAACAATGATCCATCTGTTTTTGTGATTAGCTTTTCTGGAAAATTGGAGGGAGAGTTTCAAGTAACAAATGGTTATGGTCCAAAGAAGGCTCCACAAGTTATGCGGGTAAGAGATATTGACAGCACAAAACTTCATATTCTGTTTCGTTATGTCAAAACAAACTTATTGGGACATAAGTAGAATAATGTTTTCTTGTCAGATTTATGTTGTCGTACATATGCTAATATGGTTGAACTATAAATCTCAACCACATATTCGAGCAAGAATCAACATGATGTATGGTCTAATTAGTAGTAGTAATTACAACATGTTTTTAGGGATTTATATATATATGTGACAATATTCATTGCCTGAAATGTGTATTCAGGAGCATTGGAACACATTCATAGTTGAAGATGACTTCCACTTCATAAAAACAAATGGATTAAACGCTGTGAGAATACCAGTTGGTTGGTGGATTGCAAGTGACCCAACGCCCCCAAACCCTTATGTTGGTGGTTCCTTGCTAGCGTTAGACAAAGCCTTCTTGTGGGCACAGTATGTTTTACTCTTCTTCTTTATTTATTTATTAATGTTTAAAAAAAAAATTATATATATATATATATATATATTCTGCATCCTAACACATTTGCCCAAATATTCTTACTTTTAGAAGATGGTTAGAATCATCGTGTCCAAGACCTTTTTAGCTGCACAGGTCCAGGACGAATATTAAAAAAAACAAAAACAATTAAACAAAAGTAGTGGTTGAGTTTTTTGGACCCAACCCAAAATCCAACCCAAACATGTTGAGATGGTCCAGTCCCACTTTGCAGAACCACTTCCTGTTTCTGAGTTGAGAAAAGTCGCAAATTGGCTTAACACATAAATGTTCACACTTTGCAGGAAATATGGATTAAAGGTCATAATTGACCTCCATGCAGCACCAGGCTCTCAAAATGGTTTTGAACACAGTGCTTCTAGAGATGGCTCTCAGGAATGGGGCCAAACAGATGAAAACATACTGCAGACAGTTGATGTCATTGATTTCTTAACTGCCAGGTAAATACACTAAAACCTAACTAACTTTAGAGTAAAATTATAGGTGCCGTCTTTATTAACAATTTTATTGATCATTTACATTGTCAAACTGTAAATATAAATGAATGATTTAGGTTAAATTTCGCATGATCAATGTGTGACGCAGATTCATAGTCTGACAATATAAACATTTATCTAATAACGTAAATTTGACAAGAGAACATTACTCCAAATAGCAGTCTAATCTTATCCTATGGTTACAATTGTAGGTATGCTAGGAGCCCAAGCCTATACGCAGTTGAGCTCATAAACGAGCCTTTCTCCCCAGGAGCATCTCTACAGAACGTGACCAAGTTCTACAAGGCTGGTTATGCTGCCGTTCGCAAGCACTCCTCCACAGCATATGTGGTGTTTTCAAACAGGCTAGGACCAATGGAGCCAAGGGAGCTTTTCCCCCTTGCCACTGGCTTAAAGGGTTCTGTGATTGATGTCCATTACTATAACCTCTTTGTGAGCGCTTTTGACAACTTGACTGTCCAACAGAACATAGACTTCATCCACACCAATCGGTCCCAGGAATTGAATTATGTTACCACATCAAATGGTCCTCTCACTTTTGTTGGTACGTGACATGACCTAACCGTAGCGATTGTCGATTTTGGCACTTCTAGTTTAGCTTATCGCATTAAACTGGGAGTGCGAAAATCGTTAGCAATAACCCTGATGCTATATTGTTTGCTTGTGGATTTTAGAATGTGGGTTGTGACCAAATTATGGTTTTGCAGGTGAATGGGTCGCTGAGTGGAAAGTTACCGAGGCAACAAAGGAAGATTACCAAAGATTTGCAAATGCTCAATTGGAAGTTTGGGGGAGAGCAACATTTGGGTGGGCTTATTGGACTCTTAAGAACGTCAATAAGCATTGGAGTCTTGAGTGGATGATACAGAATGGTTATATAAAGCTAACTTAAGTTGTAACATCAATACATGCATGGCGCCTCTATACTGTGAGCTAAGGTTAATTCAATCTGGGTCCCTCTGATGTCCAAATTATTCAGAATCAATAAAAACCACTGTGTTGCTAGGATCTATTAATTATGTGACATGACAGCAATAAAAGGCATTTTATGACTGTATCAATAAACAATAACAGTTTCTCAAAACTAAAAAAACATAAACTCATGTTTATGGAATTGAAGGGTTGAAGCATACAGGTGAAGTGTAAAAACCCAGCAAGCAAAGGGAAAACAAGTAGAATTCTATATTGTGTTAGATCAAATTGGTTAGTTTAATCCAACAGTTAAGAAATAGGATCTTATCTGAAGACCTCACTATAGAATGACTCGGAAACCAAATGCATTAGTCAAAACAGAAGCTCTATTAGGCTAAGTTAGACAGACCCAAAACCATTTATTCCCTACTGCTAAAGAACTTTTTTTCCTTTTCTATTCCCTACCGAAATAGAAGCCATATTGGATGTCCATATTTTGGAAAGCCGTTCAACTTTCAACTTGTTGAACCTGATTATCTTATGGTCTTTCATCTTATATATGAGTAATTTTTCGGTGTAATGGTAACACCTAAATTAATACCGTACTCTAAATTTATGACATATCAATCGTTTATCTATATTATAACACCTTTATATTGTGTGATTGTGTAACGATCACACCTTATAATAACGACACATTGCATCATACACTAACAAATAAACATGTAGGATCCACTTCTGTTTGATGAACTTTACAGTTTTGTATCGTAATGGTTTGGATATACACAAAAAGGATTTAACAGCGTGACGCACCTAGCAGCTCTTTACACAAAAATCTAGCCAAGTTGCCAGTTGGGGCTGTTTTGGATTTGTCATGATTTCAGTTACCAAAATTCTAACATATTCATTTCATTCACTCTCTTGGATTCGTTTTAAGTATCTATTTATTGATTGATACCTCAATAAGATCAATCTTGTACTTACTTTTATTCATGAGTAGTGGAAATAAATAGAATAGAATAAATAGTTTATTTTACCTAAGAGAATCAATTGGCAGCCCAGCAGAGTGAAACATGAGGGGTAATATATATTATATATGGTACTACTGAATCACACATGATGAAAAACTTTAGGTGCTTCCAATTATGTGTTTGTTGTGTGCATCAAACCTTTTACCCCACAAATGGGATTTGAGCAACAAACTCAAGTGGTGTCCCCATTGCAATTGGAAATGACAGTATAGGCAATAATTTAGGTATAGCCTTTACACAGGCATCAAAAAGTTTTGCTCGTGCCCAACATGTTGGTGGGAAACACATCTTTTATTAATCCATCAAAAACCAAATTTAGATTAATATATTTCTACTTACCTCTTCTTCTTTTTTCATCTTAGAAAACGTCATATATATACGTGCAATTATTTATATGGGATTCAAGTAAACTTCATATACGTGTAATTACTTGTAAACCACGTGTATAAGATATTTTTCCGTAAGTAGTTGAGTGAAAATATAATTTTGGAATGGTCGGTTTTGGTCCGGTGCTAGTGTTATGTTATGGAGGATATTTTGGTTATGATGGTGAGTGCTCTACTCTTCTTACTAGACATTGAAATGGAAGCAACTTACTTGTAAATGCCCACTTGGTGAAGATATTCGTAGGTGCTAAGAAAGCTCTTTGCTTAACAAATTTTAGGCCAATTATTAAAAAGAAAACTATAGCTAGCATTTGGACGTCTCAACTTTATGTGAGCTGTTCACATGCTGTGTAGGCTCCTCCAAAGTTTAGATGGACCACTGGTATAAATCGGTCCCACATTCAAGAGGCCTGATGTGCATGCTCATAGTGATTTCTACATCTGGCAATGATTATGAGTATTGGTCAATTGGGACACATCCAGCATCGATTTTAACAGCCATAGAAAATCTGGCACAAAGAGCTACAAAACTTTCTTCCACCATGAAGTGACAGTTACCTCTTTTGTCAATAAACCCAATTTCACAAGAGGTTTCAAGGCATGAGGTTTCGAGTAGTCAATTCAGTTGTTTTAGGTTTGAATTCAAAAAATATCTAACTTCAATTAATATATAATTAAAATTTTGTAATCAACGAGGGAATCGTAGTCATTTTTTCTACTACCAAAATAAAATTAGTAATGAATTTATAGTGTGAGATAAATATTCTACAACTAAAGCTGCAAGTCTTATATCGATTTTTTATTTATTATGATTATATATATATATATATATATATAAACTAGATGTCTTACGAGAAATTCATTTTCAACCCATTAACAATAAGATCATTTTTCTTCCCTTTTGACATTTTTTTCTTCGAGATAATTATAATTTTCATTTGTTTACTTATAAGAAAAGCATAGACAGAAACACACTTTGTCTTGGAGTAGACGTGCATGAAATGAATTGAGGAAGTCTCTGCAACAAGGCAAGTCAGAGGAAGTCAGAATGTTCTATACAGAAAGTCGATAGACAAAGCCATTCCTGTATTAGCTACATTAATTGCTAAAAGAAAGAAAAGGCCTAAGCAAAACCTTGTTTGTAGTGTGCAGATTTAGAAAGGAACAATATCTAAATGAAAAGTAAATCCGAGAGATATTAATTCCTTAAGAAAAAGTGACCAAATAGAATATTATAATTTTGCATATGTTCCCCTTCTGCTAATTAGGCTCCGGGCACGATATGCAAATAATCTTATTTGACTGTCACTTGCTATAGCATTTTGTGCATATTGTGTTAAGAGCATATTCTCCACATTAAAAGAATAGGCTGAATTCCCATATAAAATATATGCCACTTTATATTCGATATATCTTCACTCTTCACTCTTCACTCTTCACTCTTCTGAGAGAATGCAAAGTATGGAGAAGAGACTTTAAATGAGACCTAGTCTATTAAAACCTCTATTGAAATGGTGACGATTTCATGAATAATATATGTGTAATCACGACATAATGGTGACGATAATCACACAAACAACAAAAGGCGTGCAGTTTGAACCGTTAATAGTTCAAATCTCTCTTCCTTAATCTTACTTGTATTAAACCCAAAAAAATACTGCAATGATTCACACTTTTGCTCTCTTAAATCCTATAAGATCGATACAACTATATAAGTGTTCATTACAAAAGAAAAAAACTAGAACCATAAAAAATAGTTTACATATTAAATTAAACTAGTTAAAGTAAGCAAATTTTGACAAATATCACCCTTTTTTGTAAACCCTAATTCTTAATCTCTCTCTCTCTCTCATCCTTGGTCATCCTCTCTTAGTGTCTCTCTTAGGGTTTCCTTATCCTATAAAAGTCTTATTTTTATAGGACCTAGGTAACAACTTCAACTGAAGTAGGAAGCTAAATCCTTTTTTACCCACATTGCAATGATATATTTACGTTTTATTGGGACCTCCTTCAAGACTGGTGCATCAGTTTACTTGAATACCACGATATGAGCAGAATTAAAAAAAAAAAAGTATTATTTTGAGCTACTTGGATATTTCAATTGTTTGTTGTACAGGGCAAGTGGGCAGACCAGGGGTTAAGCAAACCCCGTAAATAGTTGGACTGAGCGTGCAACTCCGAAAATGACATCATAGGTGTGGTAACTTTTTTTTGGTAGTGTATACTGTATTTGTTAATATTTGAAATAAATGAACCAAGAATTTACTACTATGAGAGCACCGATAATGTTCTCAACCTAACTTTTTGCATAATTTAATGGTTTGAGATTTTACGACAACGTGCATCGTGTATCATGTATTGATAGTAAAACCACATATTATATATTTTATTTTATTTACACCGCAAGCTCAACCAAAAGTGTAACAATATTGCATATATATACTTTTCTCCAACTACTTAATTCAACTAACCAAACGAGCCGTAGAAGGACTAATACTTTTCTCCCTAGCTACCATACTTTTTCTTTCTCCACACTGTTATTATTTTCTTTTTCAATTTAGAATGGATGTTTCTAATTTCTGATTAATCAAACACAAAACGTATTCTAATAGTTTGAAGGATTAAAAAATAAATAAACTATAGCTAGACCAACCATTTTTCTTTGACCTTTTTTTTTTGGGTTTGAAAATGAGATGTTTTGTGATTATTTATTTATTTTCTATACAAGTTTGATTGCGAATTCATATGACTATTTTGTAGGCATTGTGCAACTACGTATAGCATTGAACCTTAAATTACCATGAATCTGATCATTTTAAACCTTAAAATCTTATTGATTTGATTATATTTTTGTGTTTTGCATATGCTAGTACTTAGGATAATTCCTTGTGAAATTACCATTATTCTTTTCTTTTTTTACTGTTGACCTATCTTCTCGAAGTCCAAAAAATTAACTCCACCGTATCCAAAACAAAACCTAAATTCTGACAATTGTCAAGCAAGTATTACGTGTCAAATAGAGAGCATGTTTAGGACCTTTTTAATGTGACAAGCAACAAGTACTGCAGCAGCAGCCAGTAAAAATCACTGTAAGTGACTGCAAGCTCTGGAGAATGAAAAGAAAAAGAAAAGAAAAAGGAAAGAAAAAAAAGCATCCGAAGCTCCCATTTGCCCTAAAAATAAACAAATCAAAATCAAATAAATTATACACTAATGACAATTAGGGTGCTGACGTGGATTTCCCATTTATGCAAACAATAACAACTCACTCACAAGTCACAACTCTCAATCAAATCTCTCTTAAGCACCGCAACAACCAACGGTCCAGATTCACTCCACAGTTTCTGGCTCCTCTTTATCTTCCTCTCCTTCACTTCGCTCTAGGCCTTCCTCTCCCTTTACCTCTCTCTCTCTCTCTCTCTCTCGCTATAGCAGTTGTAGCCTTGTGGGTTGTTAGAGAAAGCAGCAGAGAAGAGAAAAAATGTTGCTGGGGAAGAGACCAAGGCCTCCAATGAAGAGGACCACAAGCATGTCAGAGATCACCTTTGATCTGAACACCATCAGTACTGAGGCAGCTCAATCTCAACCGTCCGATCCCAACAACCCTTTTAACCCTTTGGCCTTCTGGGGTGGTGGCGGTGGTGGAGGTGGGCTTGATGGGTTGGATCAAAGGCTCATGATGAAGATGGCCTCACCATCACCATCATCACCATCACCAAGAAGCCACAGAAGGAACTCGGCTGATTTTGTAGAGACTGCCCACTTCTTGAGGGCTTGTGGTCTCTGCAAACGCCGCCTTGTTCCTGGCCGTGATATTTACATGTACAGGTAATAATTCTTCTTCCCGAATGAAATCTTAATTATTGCAACCAACTAGTTCTTAGTCTAGTGCTATTTCTCTCGACTTTCTTGGTCGAAGTTTCATATCTAAATCTCTATCCTCCAATGAAAATAAAAATCTTAGCATCCAATTCCTCGCTTACTTCCAGTTTTCAATCAGTCTCGTGTGACCAGTTTTGTGAGAGAAAAGTTTGTACCTAAGAATTTCTCATCTCGTTTCTCCTCGGAATTTTTATTTAGAAAGAAAATATTCAAGGAAGCACTTTAATTATGGAAACCCAGTTGGTTATTTTTGGACTAAGTACTTTAAGTACATGGATTTGTTTTTCACTTTTCTGTCAAATTAAGTTACTTTCACGGTCTTTTCTTACTTGTTGTTTTTACCTTTTTTGGGTACTATTATTACTTCCCAGATTGTTTTCTGATTTTTTTGGCTTATTTTGCCAGGTTTTTCAATAAATACTCCAAAATTAGGAAACCCTCTATTTATTTGTGTGTAACTTTTTTTTTTTTGTCCCTTTGACTCATTCTTTTTTAACCTGTAATTTGATTTTGCAGAGGTGACACTGCTTTCTGCAGCCTAGAGTGCCGGCAGCAACAGATGAACCTTGACGAGAGGAATGACAAGTGTTGTTCCACCGCCGGAGGCCAAGTCTCCACCAAAGGCGAAACCGTCGCCGCCTTGTAGAGTCCGTCGTCAGCCCGGAACACAGCACCATGTTTGCGAGCTTTGCTCTAATATATGAATATATAAATAGGTTTGGGGGGATGGTTTTAGGTACGTTGCATGAAAATGGGAAAACCTTGAAGCTTTCAGTCTTCATTAATTATGTGCTTGTTTCAAGCAAAATTAACTTCAAGTGTTGTACTTCATTTTCATGGTTTCCTCTCTCTTGTTTTCTTTTAGGTAGTAATGGAAGTAAATTGCAAATTTACAGAGTTAATTTAATCTTCCTTTAGTATATTATCTCTCTCTTCTTCTTTTTCTTCTCTCTCTTTTCTGGGTTTTTATCGGCATATACATGTTATGTTTATGTAATATATATGTACGAGTGGTGCTGCAATTTAGTCAGTAAATCGATGCATATATGGTAAGAGCCGGTCCATTGATTTTGGAGGCCCTATGCAAATATGGATGTCGAGGCCCTATATATACAAGTAGGGAAAAAAAAATCCATATAGAAACAAAAATTTCTGACACGGGAAGAACACATTTGGAAAGAGCTTCCTAGAAAAATTTCTTTAGTCACTCTTCCAAATCACAGAGCTGATAAATTGATTTTCCAATTTCAATGCTTGGTGAATTCTCATGTGAATAAGGGAGGGAGAAAAGAACTGTGATTTTAGAGAAAAGACTAAAGTTTGGGTTTTTACAATCCAAAATTTGATGGAAGAGGGTGATACACTGGTACTGAAGAGAAATAGCTTTATTTTGATGGAGGAGAGTGAGAAAGGCTTACTGAAAGAGGAAATAATATTAGAATGGTTTTGCAGCTTAAGAGTTGGGAAGAGGAAAACACAGGGTTCAAACCATAATAAATAAATAAAAAGAAGAGTTGTAGTGTGAGAGTTGGGAAGAAGAAAATGAATTAAATTAGAAATTGTTGATAATTAATATTCAATTCAATTTTGGTTTTGGTGCCTTGCATGTGGTGTTGTGGGGTGATATTTAATATTTCATTTTTATTTTTATGTTTTAGTTAATTTAATTGATTGACTTGGAAAAATTTGGAGGCCCCTAAATTGTGGGAGCTCTGTGCGGTCGCACACCCCATGGGCCGCCTCTGTTTATGGCCTTTTTGAGGCTTGAGTTTGGATGGTAAATTTTCTTTTTGTTGGTGATGAAGAATTGGATGGTATTGGATTTCAATAGATAAGTGTACGTTTAAATCAATGGTAATAATTCATTCTTTTTTGTTGTGGTACGAAAAAACAAAGTCATGGATCTTCTCTCCCTGCACAAAAAAACAAAGTCATGGTTTTAGTAAATATGAAATCAAATTACAATTAATTCTTTTCTATACTCCAATGATCATTTCATTTGTAAATTGATCTACATCGCACTATGAATCATAAGCACTTATAATCTGTGTGGCGATCATAATTTCCCATGGAAACATTAGCTTCAGCACACCACCTGATGTAATTAATCAAAACTGATTTATGATACATACAAGTATATATATATATATATTGTATTTTTCTCATCTAAACTTTTTTTTCCTTCATCAAATAGAAATTTTATTAGATAAACTTCAATAATCTAATTTTAATGTCACTCAAGTTAGAATTTTATGTATGGTCAATTTTCAACCACTAAGTATTTATCATGTTCACAATGGTTGAATTAAAAGTCATGCAGAACATTATTCTTTCTTAAGGATGAACACATCGAGAAAACTCATTTAACTCCACTTTGACCTCATCAATTTTATTGAACTTGACTCTTTAGACTTAGATTTTATCTGAGGTTCTAAAAACCCTAAAATCTAGGTTCTGAATGATGACTCTACACCCTAAACTATTAAGCATATCAATAAATAAGGTTAAAGTTGAAGAAAACTGAATAATCGTTAGATTTTTGTATTTTTATTTTATTTTAAAAGACGCTATTTTTGGGTAAGAACTTAAGGGCCCATTTGATAACTATTTTATAAGATTGAGAGGGAAGATGAGATGAGAGAACGTGAGGGAGGAGTAATAAGAGTGAAAACAAAAACTAAAAACTGAAATCTATTTCAAATTGTTTTCAGTTTTGTCACTCCTCCCTCTCATCATCTCTCTCAATCTCATTATCATTCCTATTCTCACTCTCATTTTCCTTCATACACTAGCACAAAAACTAAAAACTAAAAACTAAAAATGAAATTGTTATCAAACGGGCCCTAAGATTTAAAAATATGTAGTTAAGAAAATGATACACTAATGGTTTGAAATGTGATACAAAATGAGTATCTTTGTTACTACATAGATGTAGGGCCTCATGTGGTGGAGTAGGGTGAAATTTGATGACCCTAATATTGATATATTTAAGAAGATTCTGTGTGCATGACATAATAAGAGTCCATCATTAGTGCTTGTATAGCAAGTGATCGAGGAATCTATGGCCGAGTCAGCTTTGCATGGAAATGGGCCCACACTATGCAAAATACAAGAAAATTAACATTACCAAATTGATTTGAAAGAGAGATTCATTTTGAAATATCGACATTGAAGACTTGATTATCTCCCACTCCCATACCATACCAGTCTTCTGATTCGATCTGGACTGGGGAGAGGACCCAACCCAAAGGTGGGACCACTCTTATAAATATACTGGCCCCACATTTTGTTGTCTCGTGGGCCCGGACTATTGGCTCCACATGATTTCTTGATTTAATAAGACAAGCCATGTGAGCAGAGAGAGAGAGAGAGATATCGACAGAAACTCTGTTGTGCTTTTCTCGCGATATTTCGGGCCTATGAATGAAGAACGAGTGGATTTACAATGATAGGCATGAAGTGAAACTACTCAGTTTTCCTTGGGGACCAGGGACAGCTGTTTTTGTTTTTTGTTTTTTGTTTTCATTTTTCTGGTTCAATTTTGAACTTCCTTTTTTGTTTGTGTTAATGGAAGATGGATCATATGAAAATCAGTATTTTTGGCATTTTCAACTCCAACGGGGAGGCAATGCCCCAAATTATTGAATTCATTTTCAACGCCAACCCATGCAAGGGCATTTGTCAAGTCGCAATGAAAAGTGATTTTAAAAATTAATGCACCAACGTAATATGTCAAATAACTTACCTCTTAAGTTGTACTAAAGCTTGCAAATTTAATAGTAAAACACTTATTTCAAACGCAATATAAGAGCATGACTCTCCGATAATGTGACAAGATTTAATACATCACGTCGGAATGTCATGTAGTGTATCGGGTACACATGACCATTTTTCTCATCATCTTCTTCCATTAATTTTTTTTTTTTAAAAAAACTCTATTTGTTGTATTTTTTATATATAATTCACATATGCATGACACTATTCTCTAACAAGATATATAAAATATTTACGTTGTTACACTGTTAATATGCAGTTCACATTCGCGTAATGGCCATATTTCTTATTTGTAATCTAATAATCATAATTCTCTTTCAAGAATTATTCATTGGAAAAAATAAGTTAAATCCACATTTTTAAATGATCAAATAACTTCCAATACGAATTATATTATTATTTTTACAGGGACGAATTAAAATAGATACATAGAAAAATGGTTTAGCTTAGTTTCGTGATTCTAACATCTCCTTTGAAGTATGTTTCAATATTAATTCTTAATGGATTTAATCCTTCATATTTTAGCATACATATATTGAGGCTGTCTCTTACCTCAAATCAAAAGCAATAGATCTTCAAGAAACAAGTTGTTCAAATTAAATTGCTTAGGACATGACACAAGAAGAGTACTTTACAGCAGTTAGTGCAAAGTCACACAAAAAAGCTCAACTACTGCAACCCTAATTTAATCTTCATGGAATGCAATATACTTTTATATCTAACCCAAGATTCCAGGTATTCATCTCATATACATGACACGTAAAATGTGAACCTCTAACTCAAAATCAATTGGCAACTGATGACGAGGTACAAGATTTTTAAGCATATTGCAAAACTTCCATTCTCCAAAGAAGTTTCTTGCTACTCGAATGAACTTATTTTATATCTCTGTTTAGATTCAGTCAAATGGTAAACTCCAAAGAAGTTAATATATACTTGTGTACGTACTAAAGCTAGGGCACCAATTATAAGATGCACAAACATACATAGGTGTACCCAAAAATAAATAAATTATTACTGAACAATGTTTTTATATAAGATCTAGGACAGCTGAAGAAGATATTGCTATATTTCTTTTGAAGGGTCAATGGCCCTCAAATTGGCCAAATGGGGGACAGAACTATTGGGATCGAATAATATCAAATGCGTTTAGGAGATATTTTAATGTTCTCTCTCTTTGCTTGTACACATAAAACAATTGCTTCTCACTCTTCAAGTATGTGCGGCATACAAGTATACATACCTGTACTTTCATAATTAGATTATATTATTTGCTTCCCAAATGTGTGTTTGTGTGTGCTTCTTCACATGACCAATCTTGAAGAACAAAAGTGTAAGCAATTAAAATAAACAAACACACAGAGTGGCAATATTGTAATCTGTCCACACCTCCCTGACCTACTTGATGATCTTTCAAAAAGAAAGTAATATTTGTAATAATGGAGGTTTTAGTTTCTTATGGCAAGTTGTGCCCAGTAGCCCTCCATGAGATTATACCCAGTTTAAGCCTGGGAGATTATTTTTAATAAATACAAAATTTCCTGTCTATGCATAATCACTCGTAAAACACATATATCAGGTAAATTCAAATATTTTTGTATACGTGAAGTCTCGTACTTCAAATTTATGAGTTTACAATTCATCCTATATATTCACCATTTTATTACTAAATCACCCGTGTTGATTAAGCCTCTTAGAAATTAATTTCCGAACTTTTGACTAGACGTTCCAAATTTTGTTGACTAGATGGTGTGTACAAATGAAAATGTATTATCTCTATCTATGTTATGAAAGAATGGAATATTGTCACGTGTGTAAGTATCATAGCTTTTATTTAGAATGTTCAATTGAAAAATAGAATAGGGTTCTTCGTTTTGCTTTCAAAGCCCAATGCCAATAACTTTTCTTTGCAGAGAAACAGGAAACCAGAGGCACGCATTGAACAAGTTTTTGGGACAAACTATATATATATATACTTTTGGAACAAGTTTAGTGAAAGTTACTTTGTTCTCAATTTCTTGCATCAAACAGCACCACAGTCCAAATGTTGAAGCATAATAATAATTTAAGGCCATTTGTGCAAGTGGGCATGTGTCTGCATCTCTGTGTATTTAAATAATTCGACATTAGCATCAATCTACTTAATTA